GAAGTCTGAGGGAGCTAGGACGAAAGGGGTGTATATATGTATGAAGGGATAGGATGCCTTACCTAATTAATCGGGATGGGGAACGAGAGAGATGTCTGTTGGGAAGAGAGAGAGAAAAGGGAAATGAAGGATGGGTTGAGGGGGTTGGATGATAATAATAATAGGAGGCAATAATAATATAAAAATGGTAAGAGAGAGGGGAAGAGAGAGGCTAAGAATCCTAATGAGTGGTTTTAATTGATTCCGGCCGTCGATAGTGGACGCCAAGTAGACAAAGAATGACAGGAAGGATCAATAATCAGATAAAAGATTGACAATTCCCAACCCACAGCATGAGAAAGATGAATGAATGTGTGGGGGGGAGGAGAAGAGAAGAGAAGAATCTAGGAATGAAGGAGAGAGAGTTGGAGAGTTGAGAGATGCGACGAGACGAATTGAGTTGGTGGGGAATCTGAAGAAAAGAAGAAGAAGAAAGGAAGGAACGAGGGGACTCAGGGACGAACCAGATGGTACCTGCCGATACGTGGTGGTTCTTAGCGTCAACAAGTCTCGACGAGTAACTGGTTGTGCCTCCGGATGGGGAAGGGATGACGACTGGGGCTATTCCGGATTAGGACTAGCCAGGGGCTCCTTTTTTTTTATCCTGTTCTATTCTTATTATTATTTTTGTTATAATTTCTTACTGTATGAATATCCTCCACTCGCTTCAATTCTCTCCCTCTCATGACATGACATGACATGACATGACAACCTCAAAACTTAATCAATCCTCACCCACGTTCTGGTCCTTCCTTGCTTTCGCCACCTGCAGAACTAAACAACAACTCTCCGACCTGCATAGGAAGATCAATCAGTGAGTTCTTATCATTCCAAAGACAAGACCTATCTATATATATATACACCAAAAAAAAAAATTACATTGAAACTATTCAAGCTTCAAATAGATTGATATAATAATTGCACTATGTACTGTATTTACTCAAAATTCCATCAAACAAGGAAAGGAAAGAAGAAAGCCCCCACTAACGAACGAACTAAAGGAGGTATTTCGACTATTTTTTCGGTCGAGGCCCTGGTGCCATATCCTTAGCGTCCTCCTCCGAATCCGCCTCGAGCTCTGTGTTGCGCTCATACTCCACATCCTGAGCCAGAGACATCTCTTGTGCTAAAAAAAAAAAAAAAATCAATGAACCGTCCGATCAGAGACGTTAACTGGAGGGTGGGCCACTTACCATTCCACAACTCAGCATAGATCCCATTTCGGTCCAAAAGTTCGCGGTGCGACCCCATTTCTTCCACGTGGCCATCCTTTAGCACCAGGATCTGATCGCTGTCATAAATTGTGCGCAGCCGGTGCGCCACAAAGACGCTGGTGCGGGCCTTCTCTTTCAGAATACTGTTGATGTTCTGCAACAACGCATGTTCCGTATAGGTGTCGAGCGCCGATGTCTATGTCCCATTGCCCAATTAGCCAACAGTTTTCCGTCAGAGGGAAACAGACACGAAACCTACCGCTTCATCAAAGAACAGGAGCTCAGGGTCCTTCAGAATCAGTCGCGAAATGGCCAGTCGCTGCTTTTCACCTCCAGAAATCATCATTCCTCGCTCACCCACGGCTGTCTGGTACCCTTCAGGCAGCTTCTGAATCAATTCATTGATGTGCGCTCGCTCCGCCGCTTTTTGCACTTCTTCATCCGTCGCGTCAATCTGACCATAGCGGATATTGTGTGCGATAGTGTCATTAAAAAGTGGGGTATCTTGAGGCACAACACCGATGGCCTTTCGTAAACTCTCCACCGTGACATCACGCACGTCCTGGCCATCGACCAGAATCCGTCCGCTTTGGACATCGTAGAAGCGGAAAAGGAGCCGTAGGATAGTGGACTTGCCACAGCCACTTGGGCCCACAATAGCAAACTTCTGGCCAGCAGGAATCGTAAAGCTTGCATTCTTGAGGATGGGCCGTTCGGGGTGGTAGCCAAAAGTCACATTCTCGAACCGGATCTCACCACCCTGGAGCTGAAGGGGCTTCGCATCTGGCTTCTCTACAATGCTCACATTGACCTTTTGCAGGTTGAAGAGCGTCTCCATATCCAACAAAGACTGACGAAGCTCGCGGTACACGGAACCCAGGAAATTCAGTGGGACTGAAAGCTGGAAAACCAGCTGGTTCACCATGACCAGGTCGCCCACGGTCAAGCTGCCGCTGGCAACACCATTCGCAGCAAGATACATCATCCCAGCAAGCGCACTAGAGAAGATCATGTTCTGGCCAGAGTTGAGGAATGCCAGAGATGTCGTGACCTTGATGGAGGCATCTTCGTAAGCCTTAAGCGCTTTGTCATAACGAGCCACCTCGAACTTCTCGTTGTTGAAGTACTTGACCGCCTCGTAGTTGATCAGGGAGTCGACAGCCACTGTGGCTCCTCGGTTGTCGGCAGCATTGGCCTGCTTCCGGAACTTGGTCCTCCAAGCGGTAGTCATGATGGTGAATGCAGAATAAGCCACCATAGTTGTGGCGGTGATCGCGGCGAATTGAGCCCCGTATTGGTATGTCTGTCCATACTTTAGTAAGATGGATGGCACATGCCAGGATATTATTTTGGGTCATACCAGTATTCCACAAACAAGGGAGATTTCCAGGGCAGTGGGCACGACGTGAAACACCATGGATGTCAACAGGAAACTAATACCCTTGGTTCCGCGGTCAATGGCCCGTGTCAATCCACCGGTCTGTCGGGAGAGGTGGAAATTAAGGTCTAGTCGAAGGAGATGCTCGAAGACATTTCGCGCGACACGGCGAATGGCTTTCTGCGCAACACTGGCGAACACCGCATTCCGGAGCTCCTGGAAGAGCGTGGCGCTAATTCTGGTGACACCATCTAGACGGTCATTAGACAATACACCCGGCGTCCTATAGTCATCTTTTCTTACAGGCTATTATCATAGATCCAGCGACGGTATAGGCTGTCCCGCCAACGGCGGCAAAGTCCACATTCATCGAATCGACGATGCTCTTGAAGTAAAAGGGGACTTCGACATTCAAGATCTAGACATTCGTCGTCAGCACCGGGGAGTGTGTCTATTGCAAGTTGCAGTCACCGATGCACTAACCTTTGCCCCAATCAACAATGACAGGGCAGATCCAACTCGGAGCTTGGTTCCCCAGTCATCCTGCGCAGTGCCCAGTCAATTCTAGCCGTCCTGATGGTATCCAGATCCGACCACGCCTTACCTTGGGCCAGAGATATTTGACCATCTCCCTCATGATCGCCCAATCGGCCTTTCTCTGCTCTTTTGTAGCAACTGTCGCCTCGCTGAGCAGGTCTTTCTTCGGTGTTGCGGTGGGGGCATTTTGGGTATCTTTCGGGTTCTGTGCATCAACGGGTTGGGCGGCGGTCGGGGGTCTCGTGCTTGAAGGCTTTCGTTCCGACGGAGGATCTTGAGGTATTTGTTTCCCTAGTGGGTTTTTGCTGGCCGAGAACGCTCTGAGCTGTGCATAGCTCGCAGCTCGCCATGGTGCAGCTGCGCGTGGGTCGGCGGGACCGCAGCGTATGAAGCGCTGGGAGAAGCGCAGACAAGGCGGTCGGGCTGCCCGGGGCAGCATGATTGCTGGTTGATGTCTAGTCGCGGGGTGTCAAATATATTAGGGATGTCTCTTTCTAGTGCCAATGGAGCATGGTTCAGGATAAAAGGTCGCCCTCTTTCTCCGGGTGTTGGCGACTCGTGACGGGGGATCGCCGGGGTCGGAGGAAAAAGGCGGCGGGTTCAATCAACACTTCGGAAATCACTCAATGTTCGGGTAGACGGTTCGGACACCGTTGGGGAGGGGATGGTAGAAAGTATGGTTATTAAGATAGGCAGGTACCTAGGTAAATTATCAGAATGACTTAAATTACAGCGGTGGTGAGGAAAAAGAACTCAAGGAGATTGCGTGATTATTGGAGCAGAAGATGATCGAGGTGGTTGTGTCGCAATCGCCGATTCCAGCACCACCGGAACGGATGCCCGGTATGCAACCCTCTTAACTCTCTTTTCTCACGACAAGAGAATTTCCCAGTCATACTTTCATTTGGTCCTGGTTCTATCTTGGGTGATCCCTTAAATTAGAGTGATCGGTGCACGTTTATTGACTTATTCAATAGAGAGAGGCAGAAGGGTAGCCAACTGAATAGTTCCACTACGTATATATATATTTGAGGAAAACTGACAACCCCTACCGATGACATCACGGGTGGATAATTATCAACATCGTGTGCCTAAATCATGCAGTAGCATTCATATCCCCATATCACTCGAAAGATATACCTGGTACCGATGAATGAATCATCCCCAGTTAACAATGGTACTATTTAATATGTACCATGGAGCAACGACGGGTAATCAATATGTCCTGGGTGTAGACCAACGTACTAACGTTGTATAGCAAGTAAAGAGTAAGGCTGAAGATACTATAGATGTCTGGTGATTCTCAGGAAAAATCACATTTCCCAAGAAAGTATCACAGATCATCCAGATCATCCAGATCAACTGGGACACAACAACCCACTCTCCCACAAATCACTCCCTGCACCAGGGCTCGTGGCCATATATCAATGCTGCTACCCCGCGCCCGGAAGTCCACGAGCAAGACATGGCACATAGATATACACGAGATTGATCATCCCGAAGAAATAGAGAAAGACTGTGCGTTTACAGCGCTTCAATGCCGCTCGGCCAGACCTACGACAGTTCCCATTTCCAATTTCCCAATGCAGCGAATGGAAATACTATGATCACTCGAAGTGGTAGTTAACTTTAGTAAATACAAAGAACACAGAGATTGAAGAATTGTAGTGAATAGACTACCAACTCTTAAAACGTACAGTAGCAGCAAAGACAATCGTGGGTTGTCCTTACCCCTTTCATCTTAACTTCTTGAACTCTTGATTCGAGGTATTGGAAGGGCGGAAACCATACAGAATTATAGTATTCATTAAGAGGCGTCCAAAATAGGAACAGCCCGGTTAGCTCAGTTGGAAGAGCGTGTGGCTTTTATGACGTCACAGGCGTAATGATACCTCAATGTCGTGGGTTCGAGCCCCACATCGGGCGCTATTTCTTTTTTCTTTTTTGGTTGTCCTGTCTGTCTTCTTGCAGACAGGGAGAGACGGACGGACAGACAGACATCAACAATTCCGGGACAAAGAAAGGCCAAAGCAACGGTCAGAATTGGGTAGATAGAGAGAAGAGCTATGTTGACAGAAAAGGATCAGATGAAAGCTGATTGGCAGGGAGTGGAAAGGAAAGAAGAACCTCTGAAATAAAATGGGACAGATATCGACGGGAATAAATGTGCTATTTATGCATTATAATGCTGAAGCTATCATCCGAATACAAAAGAAGTGAGCAAGAAGTGTTAGACACCTATTCATGAGCTTATATTGGATTCTCACGTCTACGGCGGAATTTCTGTAGCCTTTCTTGAAAGTGACTATGTGTAAATAAACTATGTCGCTTGAGTTAATTCGATATTCCTGGATAGCCTTGGTTTCTCTCGAAATTGTACTGAAATACTACAATTGTATCCCCCTGAACCAGAGTATTTTTTTCATGGCCTCTGCACCACATACTGGATATCATGTGAATCTCTCACCTAAAGGCCTCCTAGACGCGTGCTTTTCCATACTTGGTCGTAATGACGTTGTATACATGGATGCCACTAGATCGGGGGCTGAAATAATTTCCCATTTACGAACTGTTATGTCTTGCTCTTTTGATCAATCTCATCGAATCATGGGATTATTTTCCCGTGGGTCTGTGATAGAGGAAGACCATGAGTGCAGGCCCCGGACCGCCTGTATGAGGCACGAGCCTTTCATAGGAGCCTGGGCAACCAATAAGCTTCATGTATTTAAAGTAAGTCCTACAAAGATATAACTACACCTAACAATTGAGGGTCCAAACTTCTTGTAAATACACTGTCCCCATATTGGCCCAGACCGTTGACCCAGCAACACAGGAGCCCATGCCTGCCCTTGAAAATCGAGAAACGATAAACCATTCGATTAAAAGTAAGGTAGATAAAGGCGAGTTACGTGCATACCAGCAGGGCATGGGCTAACCGGGTCTCATACCGGCACAAAGGGATAATGGCGACGTTATCTGGCTCGACTCTTATACCCCCGTCTTGGCTCTGGCGAGAGCCTATATGACAGTGAGCATGTCTCACCATACTGACGTGGTCGCGATAATTAATATCGATGCCGATAACTTATGTAGGTACCTGAATATTGCCAAGCCACCAAGGAGCTATGTATTTTATACCTTGTAATTCGGACAATATCGATAGCATACTATTATAACCATTCCAGACAGCATGTGTCAGAATTAGCCCGGTTAATTCAGTTGGTAGAATGTGCGGCTTTTACCATTAAGTTGAAAGTTAACCGCAAAGTCGTGGGTTCGAGCCCCACATCGGGCGCTGTTTTTTTACCCTCCCTCTCTCCATTTTTTTAATATATTATACCTATACATACCTATTGTATGGAGAGAGATGAAGTACTGGATTTTTGATGCACGGAAACTGTTTTATTACTGCCTAATCTTGATACACCTCCGCTGAATATCTACCGTACGTCATGGTACCCGGTAATGTTGGTGATGTGATTACCTAAGCATTGCCAAGACATTTTCCCCAATCAAGGCGAAGCAAAGCACGACAGGAAGAAACACCGCGGAAGAGCCTCTCGTCCATCCAATCTTATCGGGTAGTTTCTCGCTGCTCCTGCGATCTCTGTTGGATTGCCTCATATAACCATGAGTCAACCTTGGAGGAAGGGTGTGCGGTCTGTCTCCTGGGCTCGCGTCCTTCCGCCTCGCGTGCAACAAGGGTTTCCCGCATCCCAGGCAAGATGCGTCCAGATTCGCGCGGCGCCGGCGGAACAGCCTGCCTCCGTGAATGGCGATTATCTTCCGGTAGTGGCCACTGCTAACTCGGCGCAATCAGCGGGTATGTATCGACGACCATCAGCTTACTCTTGATCTTCTCTATCCGACTTGTGTGTACAATTTGTCCCCAGCTAACAGAACACTGAACGCCGTCTCAGATGCTCGATTCGATGTCATCGGTGCGCCCTACTCGTTATTGTCTGTCTCTCTATCCCCGTCACAGAATCTTTATACTCGACGAGGAACCCTGGTTGGTTTGAGTGGGAAGGCCGATAATGTATGCTACGCGCAACAACCTGATCCTGCACTCTGCAGTATACAATTGTTGTTGACAATAGTTGATGTCTCTAGGTTGTCTCGACTTTGAGCGTTCTGGAACCATTCCGCAGGGCGGTCGTTGGTGTCCCATTCCTCTACCAAAAGGTCCAGCTTTAGCCCTCCCTAAATAACAGACAGATCGATGTTAACGTTACCCGGTTAGGTCTCCTCAGCAAGCCCCGTTACTGCCTTGATCTCCGTCCGTTCTCCCGTCACATCCTTCGCTGTTGTCCACCTCAACGGTTCAGTGGATTGGATGGTAGCGCAAAGACGGGCACTGCTCGCCTGGACTGGCCGTTCGCTCTCTATTCGACCCACAATTAACACAAACTTGGTTCGTTGTCCTCGATGCATGTCCGATTCGAGTAACTGGACTAATTTGCGAAGAGCCTGGTCCACTGGGGAAGCTCCCAGGTCACTGGAAGAGGCCTGTTGGCGTTGGTTGGTACGGGCCAGTTATACTCGGTTGAATTGAAGGCTGGAGAACAATACATTGTTCACCCCAGGTATTTCTCTTTTTTTTTTTTTTTTTCCCTCAGCGAAGAGTACACGGTGTACTGGGTTCTAATGATTCAAAGCAATGTTGTGGCCTATACCATGTCTTCAAACCCTCCTCGTCCATACCGCTTCAAATCCACCACCCTGAAATTCCAGGTCCCAGGCCTGAAGAGCCTGCCGCGACTGATCCAAGATTCTAAATTCATCCGGGACATGTCAGATTCCAATACGTGGAAGAACGCCATGAAAGTCTTCCACCGGCTCCGCACGTGGTCTCGAATGACCATTTGGGGTGATAGGGTATGTAAAATCCCACAATATCTGTGATCATCACATTTCTAACATTAATATCCAGCTCTTCCTCCAGTTTGATGGCCCGGCAACCATCCTTCTCCAGACTCGCGGCCCCCGAATCAACGAAGTTCTGACCTCACATGAAGTCAATGAGATTGCCGACTCACCCAGAGGTCTGACGATTGGCCCAGCAAAGCCTTCAGAAGAAGCCCCCTCATCGAGGTCTGTTGAGGATCTGGCAAACGAAGTTGAAGGATCGGCCCAGCGAATCGCCAATATCACCAATGAAGGAAAGGTCTTTTTCACGAAACCGGGGGAGAAGATTTAAGATGCTCCATCTTCGGTCCTGTTATATCCAACGTCTCTACATGAAGCGAAAACCCAACCCTGTAAAGAGCTAGATGTTTCTCTTGTTGTTTCAGGCTTAATGTATTATAGATGGCTTGTGTTTGATCACATGTCGACCTGTCTTCCCCAACCAAGGCCTTTCTTTTTTTTCTTCTTTCTTTTTCTGTTAGACAACAAATGCAGTCATATCATGTTCGAGTCTTGAATTTACCTTGAACGAATCATGAAGCGTTGATGGCGGTAGAAAGGCAATTGGTGGGCAAGAGCGAATTTAATTGGTCGAGGTGATATCCTGTCAACTCCCTGATGCTTTCCAGCATGCAAGACATGGTACTCCAAAAGACAAAATAGCAAATTCTGGAACTTCGTCCCAATAAGAAACATAATAACGCAGACACCTATCAACACCGTCGCTGCAAAAGAATCGAAATAAAAGACCGCAGTCATGACAAATGCACCCCCATGTTGATACCAATGCCGAAGAAGGCTAATGATGTGCAATATGCAGAAACGCCCAAAAAATGCGAGTCCATAGGATGAATGGATAATCTTCGTGGTATGCCCAACGCTCCATAAATGCGCGTATCTAATATCAACGACAATCATACTTTAATCCTCTCTATACCAATACCCCGTTTCTCATATTTTCAACTGTCTTGACCCCAACCCCTTTCAACTTGCTTAATTCCATGAGACTGTTGATTTGCACTTGGGTGTTGTCATCGCTGTGGTTGTTGTCCATATGTTGATCCATCTCACAAAGACAGTCAACAATGGCCTCGGCCTTTTTTACCCCGACACCTTTCAGTAACTTGATCTGGCTTACATCACGAGAATTGATGATGGAGAGGAGGTGGATGGTCCGCGGTGAAAGGGTTTCTTCTGTACAGTCAACGACTGAAGATTCATCATCCAGTGGCGACTTTGTTTTTGTGCGCTTCGTGCGCCTGGAGCGGGAGATCTCGGTAATGTCGTCGTCACTTTGTGGTTCATTGATTTCATGGACATCGTAGTCTGCATCGAAATCTTCTGCTTGACGCTTGGCCCCAATTTGTGGTGGCTGTTTATTCAGTGACAACATGCTCCCGAATCCTCTCTTCGCAGGGGCAAGCGCAGGGGTATCGGCTGGCTCCAGAGTTAGACGAGATCTGCCTTGTGTACGCTCCTTTAACTTGGCAATCTTCGATACAAGTTTCTCGTTGTTGGGGAAGAAGGGAAGTGCAAGTTGATACATCCTCAATGCGGAGCTGTCTTCCCCCCGCCCTTGGTGTTGTTTCGCCATAAGCAGATACGACAAGCCTTCGGCTCTTGCGTCTTCAGTGCCCTCGATTCGCTGCTCAAGGAGCTCCAGGCGCCTTTGTAATTGGTCGTTCAACTCGCGAACTTGTGTTTGCCTTGATTGCTCACTGACTGCTCTCACCGCCAGGATTTCTTCCACTTTCTTTTCTACCATTTCTTCAATCCTAGCCGCGGACATATCTTCATGATATTTCTGTGGTGGCGGGGGCTGTGCAATCCGCGAGACTCTAGGTGGCCGGAAAGAGTGAGTTTCTGAAACCAATGAAGACGGTTTAGGTATCTCGGGCTTCTTGAACTGTGTAGAAAGCCTGGGCAGTGTCTTATCAGAATAGACACTAAATGCTTTGACCGGCTTGGTTTCGCCGGGTTTTGTTTCATCCTTGTTTGCGTTTGCTACAGCCGCAAGGTTCACGTTGGCAGAGGATGTTAGTGGTCGGAGGGGTTGCCGCTGGGAATTCATCATCGAAGGCCGGGTAGAAGGCCTTGGAGGCCCTTTGAACATGGGCTCATTCTCCACCTCTCGGACTTCGATCTTTTTAGTGCGATTGGCGAAATTGAGGGAGCTTAGTGTATCCAGGTGGTAGGATTTCACGGGGGCTAGATTGAGTATCATCACGGTTAACCCATTATTTTGACCCAGTGACAGGATTCTTGTCATCTTCGACTCGCGATACGGAATTCTCGAGTGCTTCTTGCTGATAGCTTCGACACACTGTGCCAGAACAAAAAGGCTTTTGTTGATGCTGGCGGATTCAACCATACGCTCCTTGTCATTCTCTGTCCGACGGTTGTCCTCCGAGCCTGCCAAGTCAATAGCAGACGCGGTGCTAATGAGAGTCTTATCACCAGAACTAATAGCTACCCTCACACAGAGGATTGCATGCGACCGCGAAGAGTGCGCATTCAACTAAACAGTGTTAGCTGGTTATCTCGCCAGTGTAGCAGGTATACTGACCTTTGTCGCAGAGGTAGATCTGTTGATGTTGGCCTGGTCATACAAGACTTCGAAATCTTTCAGAGTCGTGCATGGTTTCTCAGTCAAGCCTACGACTACAGTCTTCCCGCCATTATCCCGCAGAGGCAACCCTGCAAGGGTTCTCTTTTCTGGAGGCTCGAACAGATCGAAGACTTTGTCATTGTAGATCTCATAATAGCTTAAAGAAACCTTGACCGTCGTCTCGCCATCACTGTCCTTTTCAATTTTCCGACTGCGTCTGTATATGGTGCTTAGGAGTCGGGGGATGGCGCCTCTTTCAGCCAGGCTTTTACCACCTCGCATCGTATGCGTCTTCCCAGTGCCTGTTACTCCATATGCGAACAGAGTCACGTCAAGACCATTGAATAGCTGTTTAACTGTGGGGGCCACTGCGGATACAATCAGAACACTGTCACCGAAGAAATGGCTTCTGGAAACGAACCCTCCGCGTCAAAAAGCTCCTGCTGGGACGCCTCTGCATCATATACAGCATTGAATTGAAAGGTGTATTCCTCATTTTCATTCTTAGGATTTGGAATCCGCACAACATTATCCCTATCTCTCAATGCTGCGAGCGCCGCATTGTCCTTTGAACTTTCTCTGTCGCTTTTGTTGTATATAGTGTGGGGGGAGGAGCCCGAGCGGAGGATAACATCCAATTCCCGTTCTGACTTCAGAAGAGGTCTCACACGTGCAACCACCCGAACGCTCATTATGTAGGTGATCGATTGTTGACTTAGGGGGTCGTTTTCGTTACAAGGTGTCGTGTTCCCACGTCGATGTTATTCTGGAAGCGGTAT